GATTGATCAACGGAGTTTTGGAGGCCAACGAAGATATGGAGGATTGAAATTAGGGATTTTAAAGATTTTAATTTTTTATATATAATTTTATAAAATTTGAGTTTTTATAATATATATATATATATATATATATATATATATAATTTTAATATTTTAATTTAAATAATAGTGACGTGTGCCACTTTTAGATACCTAAAAGTGTAATAAAAAAACATTAGACGTATATTTTTAATAAAAAATTATTTATGCACCTAAAATTAATTTAGGATATAGTTTAAACATTTATTTTTGTATTAAGCCTAAAAAATTAAAACTTAATGATAGAGTTCAATTTAAAAAAAAAATAATGAAACAATTCAATAAAATTTAATAATATCTTTAAACCTTTTTTTATTAGTCTAACGTTGAGTAAAATATTTAAAGAAATACTAATTACTAGTTGATCTAATAGGATTAAATTATTAGATCCATAATACCGTAATTAAAATCTTTACATTATAAATAGAACCAATTAGGTGACGTGACATGACACATGTTATATTATCGATTGGACACGTATAACGTGATACATGTTATATTATCAATTTTTAATTAGATCATTTTTTGGTAACGTGACACATATTTTTAATTATATCATTTTTGGTGACGTGACACATGCTATATTATCAATTGGACACGTGTAAAAATATCATATCAATAATGTGAAGTTCAGGGGTTAAAATGAAATTTTACCCTTTCATTAAACCTATTTATCTTTTCAATTTTGTAAAAACAATTATATAAATTTTATGAATTTAAATTTTTTAAAGAAAATATATAAATTAATTATAGTAATATTATAATAGAATTCAACTTGTTAAAAAACAAATATCGAATAAGAACAATTTGGTAAAATATACATTCTAATAATGCTTTATTCATTTAACCAAACACAATAATCTTACATTCATGCTAAATGAACCAAACACAAAATACAACATTCCTAGTAATCTTATTCTCCGGTAATCTTTTATTCCCACTGGTAATCTTATATTTCGTAAACCAAACACACCATTAGGAAAATTATATTTTTCGATCCATCTTCATCTACTCTACTCAAATCCATGAACTATTTTCATTGGAAACCCTCGGAGAAGGCCAGATCTAAAAGAGATCTTCTTTGAAATGTCTCCTCTCCTTTCATCGAGTTCCTAGATCAGTCATCCCCTTTTAAAAAAAAATATTTTTTACTTAAATATACTGAAGAAGAAAAAAGAAAGGAGCAAAGTGGCCAAGAAATACCTTCAAAGGATTTTCCTATTAATTTTGCTTTTTGGATACAAATTAGAAGATTTTTTGTTCTTTTCTTTTTGATTTGTTTATGTTTTTCTCTGATTTTTTTTCCTTCTTTTCCCCCCTAAAAAAGGTCCTTTGCATGGAGAGATGTCTTCATCTTTATAGAAGCATTGTTCCTCTCATGGACCTGTCAGAGAGGTGAACATCTCAGATGATGGAAAAGTAACAACGGTAACTGTGGAGGCTGACGCCGGCTTTGGTAGCTGGGTGTATTAATGAGGGCCATTTAATGTCCCCGATTTCTAGAGATCTTGCTGAATCGGCTTAGAGATTGGCGACGACGATGACTAGACAATATTAAGGTTAAAATGTTCTTAAGGTTAGGGTTTAATCCTAACCATGAGATCATCAACAGATCCAACGGCTAAGGATTGGTGGTGGCTAGGGTTTTGGGATGACATAATGTATGTGGGCTTTAGGGTTCACAAAATTTGGGATTGTTTTGTATATTGGGTTAGCTTTTAATTTGGATAATATAATTTGGACATTTAGCTTTATTTAATTTGGGCTCCAAATAAATCGGGCTAAATTGGTGGCTAGGGTTCAACGCATTCAAGGTTTAGAGTAGAGTCAGAGTTAATTATGTCATTTGCGAATGAAGTAAATTAGGTTAAGAGAGTGACACTTGTTTTTGTAATACTCGATTTGGATTAGTCGATTAATAGATGAGATATCGATAGTTATACAAAAAACAAATGGAATTGGAGGATCTTCGAATAAGGGTTTAATGCATATTTTTATCTCAACATTAATTTTTAATTCATGTTATAATATGTTATTATATAATATACATCAATATTTACATGATATTTAATACATTTCAAATAGTTTTATTAACTGAGAGATGTTATAAATATATTAATAATTTAAAGATGAAATTAATCTGTTCAAAAGTTTGAGAATCAACTTAAAATAAAATTATAGTTCGAGAACGCTAATACAATTAACTTATGATTTTATTTACATATTGTATTTTTTTTTTTATATTATAGGATGTTCAAATTATCCAAATTTGATTTCGACCCGTTCTTATAATAGTGAGTTTTTTTTAATAAAAAAATTTAAGATCAGATTTGAGTGTTTAGAGTGAAAAATTATCAATTTGTTATAATATTATAATCATTCTATGTATATTTAAAGATATTTAGTATGAATCTCCTTTTCTGTTTTTCCAATTATCTCCCTATCTTTACCAAATAAAATGAAAAAATATGAATAATTTTTATAATGTCTTGGTCTAATTTTTCAATTATCTCTCTATTTTTTTCGAATAAAAATGAGGAAAAAACTTATTTGTTTCACGTCTACTATGGTCGGAGACAAGTTTTAACTCTAGAACTAGAGTCGGATAAAAAAGCATAAGATATTAGATCGAATCAAGTTCAAGTGAAAACTTTAGATTTTCGGATTGAGTTTTGGACGACAAAAAATCCAATTTATACATGTCCTTTGTTATAATCATATCTAAAAATTACATATTTTTAAAATACGGATATTAATAATTCATTTATATAAAATTTGAAGTATTTAATATATTTTTATGGAAATAAAAAGTTTAGGTAAGATGAAGTTTTCCCTCGAAGCATTCGGACAGCTAAAAAAGACAACAAATTTCGTTGCGTTTCATGTGGTTTATATATTTATAATTACAAGAACAATGTGACCTATATGTATATTTTCCTATAAAAAATAAGATTACAATAATGCATTTTATTATTTACACAGTTTAAGAAAACAATTTAGTTCATCTTTAAAGGAAGGCCTGCAACATGTTGTACAACATTAACAAATAATTAATATTTTTTTTAATAACAGAATATTAAATTTAAATCTAAACTAAACGTTAGATATAGATTTTTTTAAAAAAAATTGAGTAACAAAACATAATAAAAATAATAGTTTAAATATTAAACATATAATGATTAAAATTAGTCCACATTATTCACACAAGCAGCTTGGTCAAGAAGTAAGAACACTAGAAGAGTATTTGGGCTTGGAAACAATGCCACATGCCACACAAGAATAAGCCACTTTTAAAGCCCAATCAACCATTAAAAATCTCCATATTTAGTAATAATAAAACCCTAGGTATATATAACTAAATTAAATCAATGCAAAAGCAAAAACCCAAAATTAAAAAGATTTTTTTTTTCAAAACCATATATATATATATATTATCTTTAAAAATGAGTGGTGCTCATTGCCTGAAAATTTTAGCAATTTGAGGAACTATTATTCTATCAGATTACAAGCTCTCGGGTTGTTTGCCACCTCTGTTGTTTCAATCTCGAAATCTATTGCTCCCTGTGCTGTCGAGAAACAAGTTTTCTGGGGAATTGCCAGAAATCAATACTACTTCAATAATGATATTCATGCTGTCAGGAAACAAGTTTTCAGGGCCAGTGCCAAAATCTATCTCAAATATCTACAGATTGTTACTGCTGGACTTGTCAAACAATAGCCTTTCTGGCACTGAGTTTCCAGCATTTGGACCAAATAGCTTAATTGCTTATGTTGATATTTCTTCCAATAATTTCTCTGGTAAAGTTACTGCGGGTTTTGCACGCTTCACATCGATGCTTTCGTTAAGTCAAAATGGCTTTTCCGGTCCATTGCCTGAAAATTTTAGCAATTTGAGAATGCTTAAACACCTTGGTCTTCATGACCACAATATCAGTGGTGAATTCCCAGCTTTCTTCTCTCAAGTGTCCTCTCTTCAAGTACTTAATCTTAGGAACAATTCCATCGATGGATCAATCTCCAATGATCTTTCGAGTCTTAGCAGCATCCAAATCCTCAACCTCTCCAACAACAACCTCAAGAGTGAAATTCCTCCAAGCTTGGAAAAACTTACAGGGATGATTGACACACCAGATGTCCCAGTAACACTTTCTGAAATCTTCAATTTTCCAGTTGAAATCCAACACTTGATAGTAAACTGGAAGAAATCAAAGCAAGGCCTCTCGATCAGAAACCGTGACATCTATACTTTCCTGGACTTGTCAAAGAACCAGTTCTCAGGAGAAATTCCACATTCATTAGGTGGTCTCAAAAGTTTGAAGCTACTTAACCTTTCATTCAATGAACTTTCTGGCAAAATCAGTGAGTTTTGGTGACCTGCAGAGTCTTGAGACCCTGGATTTGTCACACAATAACGTTATTTATATATTTCTTAGAGGGCTTGGGATGTAAGCATTTTTCATCAGAATTATAAGAATGACAGTGTCCTCATTAGTCTGTTTAACAATTTCCCCATGGAATGAAAATATTCATAGTTTCACTGCAAAAGCAAGATTATTGGAAACAACATGAATGAAATGAATCCGTTCTTGGTAGCCAAAGTGAACACTTAAGTCAAAAACCCACCAACTCCATTGAGGAAGGCTTTTGCAGACTCTTATATGTCTGATTTACAACCATTCTTAATCAGTGAGATAAAAAAACAAGGAAACATATTTTATTCTGTTCAGTAGTTTCGTGTATTCTTTGTAAATTTGTAAATCCGTCGCCGCTTCATTCAACTTCACCAACTCACCAGTCAGCTGGAAAAGCTCAAATACAGGAGACTGTTATTCGTGATAAAACATTAATCCCATATCGGCTGAGGAAGAGTAGGAACTGGGAGCTGGAGTTAATAAATAAGAGGCAACTAGCAACCTTACAACATACTTACCTGGACGGGGTCAATGGGTGATCAACAAGACTCATGGGCCTAGGTTAGCGACCTCCATTGCACTTGGGAGGGGCGCTCGCCTAAGGTCTCCCCAAAGTGGGAGAGCCTACGTCATAATTTGTGGCAGTGGGGGCCTGCGTTCGCGCGGCCCCCGTCCAATGTCAGTTCGAATGTTATCTTCGGTATTGTTTACATTGAATTTGCAGTTAATTGTGATTATGAGTCTAGTTCAAATTTTTCACCTCTTAAACCTGATTGTATCATATATATGGCATTTGTGTTTTTAATATAAATCAAATAATGATGACGAAAATCAGTGACATGTTTGGCAACACTAATAAACGAAGGTCGCATTTTGGATGAACGTGTAAAGCCACAGAAAAGTTTTTGCCCAAATTCTCAAAAATTTTAAAAACATCCAAGCTCAAGGTAAGCTATGCTTTGGTTTTTGCCATGGACATTGAATTACCTCACACCAAAAGCAAGAGAATACTGAAAAACAATATGAAATGGATATGTTCTTGGTAGCATTGATGCTAAAAGATGAGTAAACTTCGTTACGAAAACCCCAAACTCCATTGAGGACTTATTTTTGCATACTGATATCTTAGTTTATGACTATTAGAGTCCATGTTTGAATTACAGCCTTTGCTGTATCATTGAGATAACGAAACAAGGAATCAAATTCTTATCCGTTTATTAGTAGTCCCATGTATTCTTTAGCCCCACCAGTCTCCAGGATGTGGAGAATCATGATGAAGCACAATCCCATATCGAGTAAGAAAGAGGAAGAACCACGACCTGGACTGTATAAATAAGAGGCAACTAGCCACACTGAAAATTATTTCCTGGACGGGGTTACTGGGTGAACAACAAAACTCATGGCCTAGTTTATCGATCTCCATTGCACTTTGGGAGGTGTACTCGAAGGTCTCCCCAAAATTGTAGTCTATGTCATAATTTGTTTCAGTGGGGGCCTGTGTTCGTGCTGTCCCTCTCCTATCTCAGTTCAATTAATTTATTAACAAACTCAATTGATGAACTAAAGATAATTTATTAGCAATACAAATTAATGCCATAATTTAAAAGGGTAACTCGGGGGAAAGAAAGCCAATGTTTATGCGGAAGCAACTTCTATAAAAGTAAACATTTAAGTTTGTTTCTTCACTTGCAAAATTTGAAGGAAAAGAAATAAGAACGGATCTTTTATAAGTAACTTGAACTTCTCGTATTGCGCATAGATCGGAATTCGGATTATTGTACTCCGGTGGCCCCATGGATATACGTATTTGTTATGCCTCCGGATATCATCTCCGAATATCATCGATTATAAAACAATGAATAGACATCTATCATCTATTGGACAAGACTTATAAATAAGATTATATTGTCGCGGCCGTTTTTTGTGTGGGTTCGGAATTTGACTTCGACTTAAATAAAATATTAGAGTCGTCATCGATTATTTATTTTTCGTAAAAAATTTGGTTGAACGGATATCATCTTACCTGATATGGGTTTTACTAGAAATATGTCGGATTCGTGAGTCCGTTACAGTCAAGGAAGGATTAGTACCATTGAACTGCCCTTTCGGTACCATTTAATTTGTCAGTTGTCTTAATTGCAAAAATTGAAATTAAAATTTATAGATTCGATTCAAATTACTTACCTTTGATTGATTAAAATTACCCTAAAAAAGATCATAAATAAAATTAAAAAATAAAACAAACAAACACAAAGAGTTAGTATTAAAATCAAAATAAAAAAGAGTAAATGAAAGGAATGAAAGAAAATTCAAATTAAAAATTAAATTGGAAATAATTAAAATTTATGGATCAAATTAATTCTAGAAATGAGATGCAAGAGAAACAAAAACTTAAGGGATTAAAACATCAAAAACAGAAATTTAAAAGAATAAAACAACAAAACAAGAATTCAAAGGGCTGAACCACAAATATATAAAAAACAGAGCTAACATCAAAATAATAAACAATATAGGCACTAGAAATGCAAATGACCCAAAACTAATATAGAGGACTAAAATAAAATAACCAAAAACATAAAAGAGCAAATATTAATTAAACCCAACACAAGGCAGTGATTAAAATTGAATAATTACACATATCATGACTAAAGTCAAATATAAACAAAGATGGTATAATAAGTAAACTGGTGACTAAGATATAAATGTGGAAAGATAAAGGCTCAAAATGAAATAATGTAAACTTTATTCCAATGCCCGAATCTTGAGACTACAAAGGAACAAGGACCTACATGGATATTTGACCTTAAAACCGGTGACTAGAATAGAAATAAGTAGCTAAATTAGAGGAGCTTACTAAGTAATTAACCCTAAACTTAATATATAACCTAAAACTTAAACTAAACCCCCACTGAATCTTCTTCTCTCATCATTTTCTCCCTGCGGCCGAGAAAGTGGAACTTTCACAAACAACGCCGACCACCACGTATTGGTGGCCATTTACCACTCCAAACGCTCCTAGGCTCCACTACCCATAGATGAATCAAAAACCTCGATTTCTTCTCTACCAAAGCCTGAGCTCGAGAACCCGAGAGCCACACCGATCACTTGACTCTAAACCCAATGACGACGACACCCCAACTCTGGCGACGTCATCACTATTTCCCCGATGGACACCACAACCACAAGGTTACTTCTAACCCCTATCTCTATTTATTTTCTTTAAGCATTTTGTAAAATTCGTATGAAAAACAAGAACGATCTTATAATTTAGATTATATTTTAGTTACATTCTAAGACATTAGCACATAAACAAAGCGTAAAAAAATACTAGAATACCTTGAATACTTGCTTTCGATTTTAGATTTGGATTGCTAAAAAAAGTGTTTCGATTGTTGTATTTTTATTGAAAAAAAATCGAAAGGAATTCGATCCCATTTCTTACATTTGATTCGGCTTTTTATAACCCATTGTTTTACAAATCTAGCATAAAATATTAAACACTTGATGTTTTGAATATAATATCATATGCATTTTTTAGTGGCATGAAACAAGGATTAGTGGCAGCGGCGGTAGAGCACTATGCGACATCAAGTTATTTAGGGTTAGGTGATCCGAGTCGGTTGTGCCTCGGGTCTGGGCTTGAGTCAGGTCTCACGGGTCGGGTTGGATTATGGACTCCAACTGAGTCTTGGGCTGCTGGTTTCTATTGGTCTCTAGAATTGGGCCTCATGTGGGTAATTGGTTCGGGCTTGAACTTAGGCATGCAAAACAGTGTAAATATGTTAATAATAATAATAATAATAATAATAATAATAATAATAATAATAATAATAATAATAATAACAATAATAATAATATAATATTTTTTAAGGTCGGTCAAAAACGGGTGTCTACAGCTGCCCCTCTTTGCAAATTCTTGTGTTAACAAGAATAGGACAAAGACGAAAAAGACAACCAGTTTTTATCCGGTCTTTTTTTTGTTTTGAGACTTGATAGTGTTTGATTTGGAGAACGACACTGCTCATACATGATGAAGAGTTTGGGTCATCTAAGGATGATGAGACAGTTCCTACGTGATGAGGAGATCTAGTCGAGGGATGATACGGTTCCTACGTGATGAGGAGATCTAGTAGAGGGATGACACGGTTCCTACGTGATGAGGACGACAGGACATCTTTAGGGATGATAACATGGTTCATACATAATGAGGATGCCTGGTTATCTAAAGTTGACACGGCTCCTACGTGATAAGAATATTTGGTCGATGGATGAAAATGTTTGTTGTGGCACTAAGTCGATCCATTGGGCATGATATCCTTCTTCGTGAAGTTGAAATTGTGGGTGGCTCCTTCGTCGTGAAGTTGAGCTTTGAGTTGGATATCCTTCATTGTGAAGTTGAAATCCACACTTGTAAATTGCATCTCTTTTGAGTTTAATAGCTTTCGCTGTGAAGTTGAAATTGACTCTGAATGACATTTGTTTTTCATTGTTGTATCACAAATGACTCATTCGTCGTGAAGTTGGGTCAATCTTTTGGGCACGATATCTTTCTTCGTGAAGTTGAAATCGTGGATGACTCATTCGCTGTGAAGTTGAGCTTCGAGTTAGATATCCTTCGTAGTGAAGTTGAAATACAATCTCGAGTTGTACTTCACCAAATTGGCTTTGGGTTGGATATCATTCATTGTGAAGTTGAAATCCAAGTATTGTTTCACCAAATTGGCTTTGAGTTGGATATCATTCGTTGTGAAGTTGAAATACAATCTCGAATATTATGTCGCTTCGAGTCCAATATCGTTCACTGCGAAGTTGAAATTGACTCTAGCATGAACCTGCAAGATTATACACATATACGATGATATGGATGCAATGCTCTTATGTGTGCCTAAAATGTATATACAAGATATGTTATTTTAGGATTTAGAGAGAAATCTCAATATCTGGTTATCAGTCTTGATGACTCTTGATTATGGAATCTTCAATTTATGATTCTTGATCTTGGATTCTTCAACATGATTAAATCCGATGTACAAAATGTTGATTTGTGAAGGGAATTGTTGAGTGAGCAATCTTCATTCTATCCCTGACTCATTTTGTCTTTATTTCCACCAAGGTGTACCATTGTAAACCTCAACCTGAGACGATTTATTTTCCTTGCCCCATTCAATTTTTCCCAAAAAATTTGGCTTCTCTTCCCCCAGCTTCGATCTTGAGCTTCGGAGAGATATTAATTAATTTTCAAGATATGCTTCTTTTTAGAGAACTAATCTTGTTTGAAAATGTTTTCCTTCTTCTTATTTTCAAAATTTTGAAATTTATCAAAAGGATTTTTTTGAAAATGTTGCCTCTTTCTAGGTTTCACAATTAAAGCAAATCATAAAACAAGAGTTCATTGACTATTAAAAAATCAAATGCTCTTTTAATCTTTGATAGATACGAATCTTTGACAAATATCAAGATCAAAAAGTTGGTTTAGAGGTGTGCTACCTAAAATCTAAGGTTTGTTTCATCAATTCAATCATGGCTTGCCCCTCTTTATTGGTTTGACATTTTAATCGGAAGCCAAAAAAATGACACAACTAGCATAATCAATAGCTAGACCTTTCAGAACACTTCAGTTTCAGTTCTCTAAAATCTTCCATTTGTTCAAGCTTCGAAGACTCACCTAGTCAAGGTAGTGCAGAAATATCGGTCTAAAACTGAGATTTTTGGGTGCTTGTGTGAGTTCAACTATAACAGGCGTTCCTTAACTACCTTATTCCATATTCACCGAAACTTCTTATTTAGTAAATTTGATTTAATTTTCCATTGTCTAGCTAGCTAAATTTTATCCATAAAGCCGGGGCATTTAACCAATTGCTCTATAGAGACAACTCAAGCTTTATTGTATATATATTATAATCACCTTTATCAGTCTAGCTGAAGGATTCATGTCATCACAAACTCTTTGACTTGACAATCAAAGTGGAGCATACACCGAATTACCAGGTACCCGATCAATGTCATGGTTTGAATATAATCTATTCATAAAGCCAGAGCTTTCGAGTTTCCTCTATAACCAATTGCCTTAGCAGAATAGCTTAGCTTTATTGTATATATATATATATATATTATATTTTTTTTGTTGGGTAAACGGATTCTATTTCTTAAGTTCGCGGAGGAGAACATGTTATAGTCTAGGTGTTTGTTGAAGGTAAAAAAATCTCATCGTTAGAGTTCAATTCCCAAGCAACTGACCTAAACTATATTAACCTACTTGACCATTCCATCTGAGAAAATCATGATCGTCATTGAATGTTATAAACAGAGGTAAAAACCAATTAGTTTTTCAATCTCATGTGCTAGTAGCCCCATTCTGTTCGCTCCTAACACATACCTGAATAGAAAACCTTTGATTAGCTATATATGCGAGGAGAGAACTAGCTTGGTTCCTGTAAAAGAAGGGTATGTATTCTAGTTTATTTTATAGATCAAAGGGGTCCTTGTTTTGCAGGGATTCAATCTAGTCATTTGTCA